GCAAAGCGGTGCGGCAAGCATAGGAAACTGAGAGAGACACTTTCCTGCTCCTACAGAGAATAACGACTTTTGCCCCTTCCAAGATACATTTGGAATTTAGAGAACTCTGGAGAATCAAGTTGATTTTTAAAGAGTTTATGTGTGATTGGTCGAGGAGGCCAAAGGTAACTTGGTAGATTACCTCCTGTGGAAATTCTATCGTTCTTAACCAAAATATCCCAAAGACTCAACCAACAACCTCGGCAAGCGAGCCAAATAATGTCGGTAGCATGCCCAGGCTGGTATCTCTGCTTCACACTATATAAGCGACTGATGAGTAGGGTGAGTCTCATTTTAGTATTCATATTTATATGAGCTAGCGACTAGCTGGATTCATATCGAGCGAAGTCTGCTACATGACCGACGTCTTCAGGAAAAATCAACGGTGCTGCAACTGGACACCAATCAATGGTGCTGTCTTGCTTCCTCAAAAACATAGCTCGAATTTTTCCAGAATGGGGGGATTTCATGAGAACAGGCTGATTCGGTGTGTTCGAGAACGCGAAAAAGAGATTCGTACTAAACATGTCGTTAACGATGTGGGTGGGAAAACGCCATCACAGGACATGAAGGTGGGAACAAAGCCCCCTGGCCATTATCCTATACCTCAAATAGGAGCTCTTACAGGTAGATCGATGGTTTTTGACGCGATTCTCGATAGAAAACGCTTACGGTGGACTTTGCGAAGAGTTCTTTTCACTGGATGGTGGACCTAGCGCATGGGAAACACAAACTGGCAAAGGGAATCCGTTCATTGCTACACCCCTAGGTGGAAACACTAACAGACAATTAAAAGTAAGGATTAGATCTTTAGAGAGATTAGGAGATAGGGGAATTGAAGCTCTGGAACTCTTGGTTGCAAAATCTCTCATTCCATCCTCCTGAAAACACAAGAATGTGCAGGAAACTTAGCTTGACTATGACAATCCACCCGTAGTTGAGGCTTTTCCAACAGCTGACGAACCGCTTCCCTTACCTGCGTGCAATAAATGATGGCTTTGCTCGGTTTTGATCTTTAAGTTGCTTTGGCACTAATAAAGTCCACCACCTCTACTTTCAACAGGGGTTGGGGAAAAACATGAAGGGGAAAGGTGCAAAAGGATCTAGACACAAGTGCCATGTACGCGGGTGTTGAGACTCTTGGGCGAAGGGTGGGACTGTATAAGAAGCAATGAGAAATGTGAGACACGAAAGATTGGCAGTTCAGTGCTTATTGCGGTTACTGTACCGAAAACAATGAGTTTGACCTTTGGTGGTCCAAGCTGAGTGAGGGACCTCCCAATTTGCATGAGGTAGGCAAAGCTCGCCCCACAAGAGGCCAGATACGGTAAGGCAAGAAACATCAGTTCTACGATGATATACCAAGACTGGTGTGGGCGACTAGCAGGAAACTTGAATTGGGTGGAGAAGTTCGTCAATCTTGCTTTACTACCACAACTTCGGGCTCTAACGTTATTTCCGCGCCTGTAACTTACAAAGAAATGCTTTCTACTCAAAGTGATTATCTATAACGAGATGTGTACCGAAAAAATCTTATTGGAAAGGCTATCTAAATTTCCTTTGCACATCTGCTAAACAGCTTTTCGGACGATGTTATGAGCTCGTCTCGCTGAAGAGCAATAACATATACCGATATGGAAATTGTCTTGACTCGTGGACCTCCTATGCAGTTTTGAATCTAATCGCCCTCAGCTGTTTCGCATTTTCACCAAAAATTGTGCAGGTAGCCAATGGAATAGAGACTTGAGATAGCCTTTCACAAAACCCTTTTCTTTGTATACATCGTCTTACAGGCTGTGTTCGGGCAAAACTACGAATTTTCAGTTCTCAACAGATTATGATAGCTAACTACTAAATAAACGGTTACTCAAATTTAGGAAAATAATACACCGAGGTGCGCAATAAGATTGCCGCGGACGTTTAGGTCAGCCCGCCCCTTTCAGCATTCCGCCCAGTCAGTGATTTCCACCTCAGCACCGCTTATAATCGGTTCTCAAAAGCAGGCTATTAGCGAAAAAGGCTTCGATCGTTTTTGGGCTGAAATTCGAGTATGAAATTGCTTTCCACTCGTCTCTGTCCATCCAAAGGAGGTCCGGAATCTGGCTTTTTCTGATAATTTCACGGTAACTGAAGCTGCTATTCGTGTTCACACCGAAATGGTCCAGAAAAGGTGAGAAACGAGTCAAATATTTGCTGCTGCTTTTAT